CTGTCAAATATGGCAAACAGCATATTTAAAATAATTAGATATTAGCAACTGCTAATGTGGAACACATTTAGAATCTAAAATGTCCAGCAATGGATGGCTAAATCAGTTATAAAACAGCGAAGGTCTAAACCCCATGTCTTTGGCTTATACTAGGGTATATATACGTTTAAGAGCTGATAATAGAAAACAAGAAGACCAATCTCTTGATTTTTACTAATTATTAGCCACAATTCTGTTATAGTGTTGAAATCTGACCGATAAACTACAAGATTTATTTCAATGTTGGCAGAGATGGGGATGAGGAACGGCATCAAAAAGAAAACATTCTGAGCAGCTTTTGCAGCAGCCGATCTTATTTTGTTGATAAGGATGAGGCATTTATATAACAGCTAGAAGTAAAAACACATGCTTCTGATTATGTCAGAATTATGTAAAGTCTGTGGGCAAAAACCTAAAAGAAGACATGTGTGACAAACTTGCATTTTCTGAAAATGTTCCTGCTTTCCTTTTGTAACCATTTAGTTTTATCTGCAAAATATGGCTCAGATTTCTTGGTTTAGTAAAATAGAAAAGCTGTAACCAAATTACTATTTTTTAGAAGGACATTGATCAAAGGTTTCTTTCACAACAGATATGACACTGAGAGGTGATAATGTTTTATCACACTTAACATGCGACGCTAAAAAGGATGCAAATTAAAACAAACATTTTAAGTATGTATAGCTGATAAATACAAAATGGCTCCAAATTAATTCTATTTGCTCATTCCTCAGTGTTTTATTTTAGTTAATCATGTGCACATCCTGGACAACACAAAAAAAAAATTATCGTAGACTTGCTGCAACATGCTGATATGATTAAATATTTCAGGCTGTGGAGGCCACCTTGACTGCATTTGTGTAAGAATCAATTTTGTATCAATTTTATAATACTTGTAATGCCAAACAGACTAAAAGCCCGTTTAAGGCTATCTTATTGATTAGATTGTTAGATTCATTTTAGTGTGCAACACTTAGTAAGTTTAAAATTCTATTTGATAAAACACTTTGCAGTCGAGCTAGTGGGGAATATTTCGAACCTCTGCAGATCAAAATGGAAAACAAGGTGAGCCAATGAGCTACAGTGAGGAAAATAAGTATTTGAACACCCTGCTATTTTGCAAGTTCTCCCTCTTAGAAATCATGGAGTGGTCTAAAGTTGTCATCTTAGGTGCATGCCAATTGTGAGA